ATTATATAATAATTATATAAAAAATAGGATAGAATCAAACATATATGTATATTAAGGGATATTATGGAAAATAGGAGTTAGTGAGAAACACATATATGCTATATATATAATATATAATAAAAACAAATTTACATAAGAGCTTCCTGTATATTTCTTTTTTCTCTGTCTCTCTCTCTCTCTCTCTCTTTCTCTATCTTCTTTTTTTTCGTTTATCATACAGCACTGATTATTGTGGAATATTTTCAGAAATGTTTAATCTTTCACATCTCATGTGTAACAATTCTGAAAGGATTCTACAATATGTCATATGAAATATTTTAACAGAAATGTTTGTAAAAATCATACGAATATAAATTGAAAAACAGAATAAAAAAAATTTAAACATAAAAATTAATAATAAAAAAGCATCATGATGTTAAAATGGCTTCAAAATGTTTACTAAAAGTCATTTTTTTATCAATCACGATTCAGTTTGATGTTATGACTTGTTCTTTAATTGCGAAAAACTTTTGTATATGAATAATAATATTGTGTAGAAACTGCAGCTATAATTTTTTAATAATGATTATGTATATGTGCTTTATAAATATATATGATTAATTAAAACAAAATAGTTGGCAGTAATAATCACTAACTTTTGAGAAACATTTTAAATTTATTTCAATAAGTTTTGAATTCTGTAAATAGATTTCAAAATTCTTAATAAATTTTAAGTACTTCAGAAATGAAATATTTAAATATAGGTATGTTTAATTGATACTTAAACAATATTTAAATCAAATATATTTAAATATCATTTTTAGTACTAAAACTAGTTGATATCTTTTTAATAATATTTCAAAAAGATAACAGATTCTTTCTATAATATTTCTTCAACTTTTCAACAAGATTTCATATGCAAAAATCGCGGACATTTTGCTATTCCAGAATTGTCTCAGAAATGTTGCAGATATATTTTTATGAAATGTTTTATATTTCAGTTGAAACATTTTTGAGATATATCTAAAAACTTTCGGTGCTATATGGGTGAATGGTGATACTGTAAGATTTATAGTGATTTTGACTAGTGTAAAATACTTATGTGTATAATTTGCTCACGCATGTCTCAGAAAGGGAGAAAACGTTCGATCGGGCCACGTGGAAAACAGAAGGTAGGTAGATAGGTAGGTAGATATGGTTCGAATTAACGCAGGAAGAACATGACAACGACGAGAAGGAGGACGACGAAGGAGTATGTAAGAGGTGGAGGTATGGATCGGTATAAAAGGATCGCATCGCGACCGCCTCGTCTGTTTTAACACTCTCACCGGACCGCTCGGTGGATCGATCGGTGGAAGAACCGGGACGTATACGCGTGTCATCGTCGATCGTCAATCGTCTACCTCGAGAAGACGTGGAAAAGGAGAGTAGAGAAAAAGAGAGAGGAAGAAAGACAGAGAGGTGAGTTCTCAAGGAATACTGGATACAGTAAAGTGGAGAACAAAGTGCTTACCACTCTTCAGAAGTCGTCGAACTGAATCGGAATGAAGAACGATATCCGATAGCTGGACGAACGACCTTGACCGACTCTGCGTTGGTGCCCCATCCTCTTCCTCGTTCTTCCGCCGCTCGATCGAGTTAATCGAAGGCAGGAAGGAACATTTCCCTGAGGGCTAAGTGATACTGTGTGCGTCGCTAATACAGTGAGCTAGCCGGTATTTTTCGTGTGACGTATTCGCGTCCGAAAGATTCGTGTGAATTTGGTTCTTGGTTTCTTCATCCGAATGAGTCTCTTCTGATTCCAACTCGTCGCAGGGTTACTTCCGGGTACCGACGCAGTTGCTATCAGCTCGCGAAGTCTGTATGAAGCTAATGTAAGGCCTTTTTACCTTTTTTAATGAAAGGTAATACAAAATTATTCGATTACTCTTTTTAAAACTGAAAATATAACGAAAAAATTATTTATATATTACTTTCAATTAAAAAATCAGTAGAAAAAAGTTTTTTTAAATTTCTAGTAGAAATTAAAAATGTATTTATGATCAATTTTCTTATTAATCTTTTATTTATTTTCTTCCTACTAATTTATTATTGATAGTTTGTTAAAAAGGGGAAAAATTTACTTAATTTCCAGTTTAACTATTCTTCTATGTAACAGCTTTTAAAATTCTCTTCACATATATTTTTATTAACATCAATGTCTTACAATTTTTGCAAAAAAGATTATTCAAAAATCGCGATAAAATGAATCTTTTATGTTTAATATTTCGTAAAGAATTGATTTCTGCTTTGTTCGTAACTTTGTATTCTTTGTCGATGCGCATCATAATATATTCTTCACTTACGTTTATCTTATTTCAATCTCTCCCTTCTTCCAATGCTTCTTTCCATATTCCAATCTTGAAATGATTGTAAAAAGATACACGAAGATGTCATCAACTACTGTTGTTATTCTATCCGTAATACTATTCCCTTATAATCAAGACATCCGGTCTATTGGAATGCAGCTCGTAAATTTCGTCTCGCGACGTTTCGCGTGCTCGTGCTCCGAAAGTTGAAAACATACACATAGGAATGTTATGAGATACTAGTTGGGTTCCGTAAAGGGCGTAATGTTATCCTTGTTTGACGTAATAAAACAATAAGGATATGATACATCAGCGCATTATGCACTTTATGGAACGCAGTCACTATGGGAACTGTTCTATCTCGCGATCGGGCGATCCGATCGCGATTGATCGCCGGTTCGAGCACGGAAAGTATCTCTTCTGACAGAAAAAGATACGATTCCTTACGGTTAACTTGTATATAGCCCGGGTTACCGTATCCCGCACTGATCGTGCCTAGAATAACGTTCTAACGAGTCACACGTGTCGTCCATAACGGGTAACACGAGCGAATTATCATCGCAGACATTCTCCTGTCAATTTCTCGGTTACTTTGAGTAACGTCTAGGCAATAGGATATCTCTCGCAATAAGAGATCGGTCACACTTTTTGTATTTTTTTAATAAACAAACAAAAGGATTATTACAAGAAAAAGAAAAAATAGGATCTAATCAATTCTATCTAGTATCATCATTTCTAAAAATAGCTATCTGCTATTTAAAAGCTGGATAGAAGTGATTTTTATGTAAATAAAATGTAAAAAATGTAAAAATATTTAATTTTTAAATTTTATTTGCGCGAAAATCCATCGTGCAATTCTAAATGTTGAAAAAGATGATCATACTTAAGTATAGCTTGAGACAATAGTCACATGTACAAGTAATGTAAACGTATTCACGATGGCTCGGAATGATGCTGAAACTTTACTTACTTACTTATTGATTAATAAATGATAATTTTATTGCGCTCCAATTACCGCTTGATTCTCATTGCCAGTGTATTTCTTCTTATTTATTTTTCATATTTATAAATAACATCTGTTCGCTAAAAATGATAAGTAATTCCATTTCCTTCGTCTACTTCCTTTTGCAGAGCCATGAGACTAGCAGCAGTGCTGACGTTGCTGTGCTGTCTGGCGATAGGGGTACTTGCCTCGCCGGTGCCTAAGATTGCTGACAGCAAGGTGTCGACACAGAATGTTGTTGCGACCGGCAGGCAAGCGCCTGCGGCGCCAGCCGCCACTGATGATGATGATGATGACGACGACGACGACGATGACGACGATGTCGATTTAGATATCACCGATGATGATGATGATGACGATGATGACGACGATGATGACGACGACGACGATGATGAAGATGACGGCGATTATTTGGAGCGTTTCATTGAAGACATACTTGGAGGTGAGGAATCATTGCTACATTGTTCTTCAATATTAGCTGTATTATTTTTATATTTTTCTAATTATCTTAACAAAAGTAAAGAATAGAGAGAGCATTCGAATAGAGATTTATGGTTTAAATAATCGAAGATAAAGAAATACGAAGTGAAGTAAATTCAAAATGGGAAGTTGAAGATACGCAAATAAAGATATTCTTAATTTGTCAGTACTTCTTACTTAATTAATATGTTCATTAACAAGTCTACCGTTACATAAACTTGATATTTAAACAGCAATTTAGCTAAATAAATTAGCTCTTATATATATAAAAAAAACTGGAATATAAGAAGATAACGGATAATAATAAAAATTTATATAATACTAAATAAGTATTTGGTAAAATTTTCCTAAATATATAGTTAGGGTCTAAAAGGTAGCGGTACACTTTTTTTCGATGGGTTTTGTAATACAACTTGCATCGAGCGATAGGTTCTTATTGGATCAACAAGAGAATCAATAAGAACCAATCGCTTGATGATAGGATTTAAAAAAAATGTTGCAACCTTTTAGGTGACCTTTTAGGTGTATAATTATCTATAGTTGTCAATAATGTATTATAAACAGTTTGATTTCTCTTGTATTGAACAATAAATCACATCTAAACTATAATAACTTGCTTTCTGAGAGCTGAACAATGAATCGATTCTTTCTTTTCTTCGAATCTCAAACAATAGAAAATATTGCAAACTGACACAAACCGTTATATAAACGCGAAGCTTCGTATTGCCTGAGAATCTCTCTTTCTTGCTCATATATGCTCGCGCATAGTAACGGTACAGGATACTTTGACTCGTCCAAATTAACATAAATCGACAGCGATCTCGGTTCTGAAAAAAATTTCTACGCGCTACTTCTTCGCATTGACCTGAATACCAAAAGATAATCTGAGTTCTCTCGATTCCCCGGCTGTCTCTTATGCAGAGTGCATTAAAATCACGAATGCGTGAACTTATAAGAGATAATAAAATTAATTGTTATCCGTGTACTTTGTAATATAATTTTGCAATGTTTTAATGAAGTTGTACGTTTTTTCTCAGCACTTATTGCATTTTTTATTAAAATTGTTCTCGAGAGAATATTAGTTTCGCTTGACCTATTAATATCATTGCTAATAAAAAAATATATTTTCATCTATAATGTACCTCTATCAACTTGCAGGAGAGGAAGATGATGATGATGATGACGAGGATGAAGCTTCACCAGCACCTATTCCATCCGCCGTAACACCTCCACCTACCCCCGTCAATTCGCCGCAGGTGCCGCTTGCCGTGGCGGCTGATTTGAATCAGGCCAGCGAGGAAGCTGCAGAGGATGCCGTGTCAAGTGAAACGGCCGAAGACGATGCCAGCAGCTACGAGGATGAGGCGAGTGACGCTGCCGAGAGTCAGGCTGCATCCAACATTCATGAGACAACGTTCGAAGGTGCCGAGTCCGTCTCGAATCCAGTATCAATTCAGGCCGTTCCCAGCGTTGTAGCGGCTGCTCCGAGCAGTGACGAGGATGATGATGATGATGATGATGACGATGATGACGACGACGATGTAGATCTAGATATCACAGATGATGATGACGATGACGATGACGACGATGATGATGATGACGACGATGATGACGACGACGATGTGGATGATATCGCCGATATCGCCGACGCTAGGCATGCACGTGAGTTCAAGGGCAAGAAGGCCAAGAAACATAGCGTCAAGCACCCTCGCAAGTCGGACAAATCGATCGTACGATCGATCTCTTCCTCTTCTTCACCCTCTTCTTCTTCTTCTTCTTCTTCTTCTTCTTCTTCTTCTTCTTCTTCTTCTTCTTCTTCTTCTTCTTCTTCTTCTTCTTCTTCCACCTCCGCATTGAAGAGCCTTTAGACCGAATTATTTATTATGAAAATCGAGTGATAAGTGCAACATAGATCCTTTGACCTCACGCGTTGTCTTTGCCGCCGAGTCATTTGAATTTTGGCACGAAAATTTCTTAGAAGTTTCGTAAAAAATGTTGTACATCGTTGACTGTCTGTCAACTGATCGATTCTATTGAGCGTTTTCATGTCAGTCTTACGAGATCGATTATTAGGATGACGCCCGATTGCGAAGCTCGCTCATGGAATTTATTTTATTCATTTCGTTTCGTTTGCATATCTCCTTCAAAAGCGTGTTTTATATCTCTTTTAAACGTAACGATCGCGCCTTTGTGAGATTTTTAAGAACAAAATTATTAATGAAACGAAACTCTACAAAAGTAACAGAGAGTACTATGTACTAATTGATCTTGTTTCCCTTTTGATATTTTTTTTTTTTTAATTAAAAACATATTTTGTTATCTTTTTATATTTTACACATAGCAGTGAGTAATATAAATATTAATTTTAATATTTATTGTCAATTGATATTATTTTTAATTTTTCAAGTTTTTAAATTAAACATTGTGAAAAAATTATTATTTATGTGTTTAGAAATTTAATAAATTTCTAGTATTGAGATTATTTTATTAGTAAATAATATAATATTTATTTGTATAATTTATGTATATCATTTTTCTTCAATTTTTTAAATTTATGTAATTTAATTTATATAATTCCTTCTTTTAACGTAAATATTCACAATTTTTTAATTTGTGAAAAAAAAAGAAGAATGAAAAGGAATTTTTTACATCCACGTTTTTACATCCACATTTTTATCCACGTGACAGTTTCTCGATCTGATTGAGGAATTTTTTTCTCAATAATTTATTAAATGACAAAAAGTTCGCGCTAACAAATTTCGTGCGAGCAGAAATTTTCAGTTTTTTGCACTAAACAATCATTTTATTTTAAATTATCTCAAGCGTTAGTTATTTATTATATTTATTAACGGAAATATCTCTATTTAAAGTTCTATCACTCGTCGCATCGCACCATATAGACTGACACATTTGAGCTCTTTATAATCCTTTGGTTTCTCTCTGATTTTTTAAACGTTTTTTGATATGAATATATTTTATCTAAGATACGTGCTAATTTTTTAGGCGTTTAAATTTTTTCAGAAACGTTTTAGACTGCGTCTTTTAGTACCTTTCAGTATCTTCTAAATTCTCGTATTGCATGGAGTAGCATTGAAATCCTTTGGTTTGGTGACCTCACATCACGTGTTTCCTTTCTTTTTCAACATTCATAATCCATCCTTGCTATCAGTCGAATGAGATTAAAAAATGTGATAAAAAAAGAAAGAGAGAAAACTAGAAAGGAAGAGAACGGATGGGGAATGCGCATGAGAGAGAAAGAGAGAAAGAGAGATCTAGAATATCATATAGTCTCGTTTATAAGATCAAGAGACATCGAAATCGTCTACATTAAGAAAAAAAAAAACAGAACGAAAAATTGATCTCGTCCTGTCTCTGCTCTGTCGAATTTGCAATAAGATGTTTAATCTGGCAGGTGAGTTAAATCTCCCATCAATGTCCTTTAGTGTAAATATATATATATATAT